AGTTTTCAGAAGTATGTAACTGACCTACGAAAGCAAAAAAATAAATAAATAAATAAATAAAAATAAAATTATTCCCAAGACATTTTACCTCATCGTAGGCTTTCCTTCTTAGCGGAAGGTACAAAATTAAAAGTATGGTTATATTCAATAGAAAGACGTTTCCAAAATGTGTTTTTATTCCAAAATGTGTTTCTATTCCAAAATGTGTTTCTATTCCAAAATGTGTTTAATGTAAATGGTGTTTTTATTCATGTTTACGAGAAAAGATCTATGGACGATAACGACGCGAAGTTGTGAATTCGAAATGTTTTGCAAAAGCATACTGCTGAATTACAGAATCCAGAAATTAATTTTTTTGGGGGGAGACATGTTAAGATCCCATCTAAAGGATAATACGAAGAAATTGTTCAAAGAGTGTAATACAAACATGGCAGTCATGCCAGGCAGATTAGCTCTATTAGTTCGGGTTTTAGATGTGTGTATCATTAAACCAGTCAAAGAAAATTTAAAACAACAGTGGAATGGATGGTTAGAAGGTAAAAAAAAAACATTTACAAAATGCTGTGTCATGCCAGTCTGGCCAAATGCGTCATGCCAGTCTAGAAATAGTGTGTGAGTGGATAATAATAAAAGCATGGAATGAAATTAAACTCGACATGATTCAAAATTTATTTTTAAGATCGAACAATCTAGTGTGAATGGAAGATGATTATTTATTTATGGATTAGAGTAATATTCGTGATGAATATGAAACAGAATTCGGTGATGTACCTGAAGATGTAACGGATGACGAGTATGACGATTTTTTCATGTTATCCGATAATGATAATTTTTAAGTTTATAAGATTTTTCATTTCTTTTAAACAAATAACATTTAGGTACATGTAGAAATGTAATTTTTATGCTCATTATTTTCCTTATTATTAAATCTATCCTTTTATATATCCGGTGTGTAACGCGCAGCCTTATATTCCAATCTTATTTTTTGTATTAAAATTGTACGTTATACTACGGAATATACGGTATATTATAGAACTTTGAAATTTATCCCGATCATGTATAGTAATTAATGGATGCATGCAAATTTTATATATTTTGAAAAGTCCTTTCCTAAAAAATGTCCTTATGAAGATTCTAAATTTAATTATGGCAGTTTATTTCTAAAATTTATATTTTTTATGTATGGTGTTTTTTTATCTATAAGCTTTTTAATTAGAGGTTTTTTTTAATTAGAGGGTAAGTTGAAATTCAGTTTACTAAATTTCTAAGGCATAACTCGAGTATACAAGTTATTTGTCTTAACTTGAATTTTAATTTTTGCATATTTACTTTTTTTTTTATTTCAAGTACGTAATGTAAAGAACTTTGTGATTATAAACAGTAAATAAAAACTTTGATATACTAAAATATCATTTCATACAATGCAAAAATACCTTGTAGAAGGAATGGAGGTTTTTAGGTCCAACTGTATATAAGCATTGCACAGACATTAGCAAGTAGTTACTCTGATTCGCATTGTGCGGACCCACCCATTATAATCAAAGCTCATTATTATATTGCATTGTATTTTCTTAGTTTCTTTATATTATATATTATCTTGCTGTACAATAACAACATCTGATTTTGCTTAATAATGAATAAACAATAAAATTTTATAATTATGCACTAGAAAAGTTTTGATTTCATATTGATAATAACACTTGCTTTTATACGAAAGATCGTTATTAGACTGTACAATTTCTTATTTGATGTTCCAGTCACCTCAAGAATTTTAGAAACTTATACTTTAGAGACTGTCAACTTGGACTCTAAATTTGATTTACAGAATCATAGTTTGTTCTAGTATTTCTAAATTACATCTTGAAACCATTTATTTGCTTTTTCATTACAATCGTAAGTGTTGTATAAAATTTCTCTGCGTTTGCTAACACTCTAATGCTTTTTTCTCAAAAGGCTTTTCTGTTGCCAACCCTATCTCCTTGTATGTATATGTAAAATTTAAAACAGTAAAAACAAATTCTCATATGTAAAATGTAAAACAGGAAAAACAGATTCGCATATAGACCTTTAAATTCTAATTATGTGTATTCCTTCTTCAAGAATACGTATTGTAGCATTTTGCGTCATCATTTCTCTTGCCCAATCACTGTCCAAAGTTCAAAGAATTTCCGAGATATAAATTCTTCAGTTATCTTGTGCACATCCTCTTTTGCCGCTTAATCTTGCTTCCTAAATGACGTCTCTTCGCTTAGCCGCATTCGTTCAATGTTCTAAAATATAGCTGCGTATATAAAATTGTGGGCCGTTTAGCACCCCTAGTGTTGTAAAAATTAATAACAAATGTGTTTTTAAAGAACTGTTCCTGTTTAAAAATAAAAATTATTTTTTAACTAGCTACTTGTGCTTTGTAAAACTTCCAGTCATCTACGCAGCAGTTTTCTCGGCCATGATTAAACTGTGAATTTATGCCTTCCCTAATCAAGCTTTCATAAAATATCAAGTTATCTACAACGAATTAATTGATCATACACGCACATACACGTGCGTATATATATATTTTTAATGTGGCATATATCATACACACATACACACGCATATACTATATATATATATGTACTATAAGATACAGTGTAGCATATATAAAGTGTAAAGAGTTTGATTATTTAGATTTAATTTGATTAAGCCTAATATTTGGTAATAAAAGCCTCGATTTAAAGAATAGACTGTAAGTTTAATAAGGCGAAACTTGTTGGGAATATTTCTTTAATCTAAGATTATGGAAAGGAAAAAATTCTGAAATCTGTGTAAAAATTCTGACAGAACATTTGTCTTGGGTAAATGAAAGACATTTTGTTGCTTTCTCTGATTTCATCTACAGGACCTTAGCTATTAACTTTTAACTCAACAGTTTTTTTTATAATGTGTAGTCTGTATTCTTTTCACCAAAATTGGATTAAATTTCACGTAAGTGCAGATTATTGTTTTACTGAAAAAAAATTAAGGAAGAGACATTGATATAAAAAAACAGAAGTTCTTGGAAATAAAGCAGTGCACAAAATAGATACAAATGCCTTTTTTCACTGTGAAGTAAATAATGTCAATAAAATTGACGCTATGGAAGACTTAAATTGACTCTATTGAAGTCAATACGAATGAAAAATTGAAAATATACAAACCTAACTTGGTGATACAGCCTTGTTTTGAAGATTTCATGAAACTTCAAAATTTCGTCAGAACGTTCGCTATCGGCGATCAAATTCGTCAGAAAGCTTGCCACAAGCGATCAAAAATCCCATATTTAAAAGTCTGCTTATTTTTTATTAAAATATTAGAAACTAATCCTTTTATTTTTAATGTATTTACTGTTAAGTGTATTCATATATATATATTTTGAGAAAATTTGAGAGTTCAAACTATGAAGATTTTCTTCGTCGTTATTCTTCCTTCCGAGATACTTTGTACAGAGATATAAGCTTCTTGCGATGTTAGCTCCTTTCGTTACAAATTAAGCAAGAGAGTCAAAGAGCAGAATATTTCCTGGGAAAAAAATCTTAATCACAGCTCAAAGGTTTCGCCTTGCTAACAAACACAAAGGCTTGTAGAGACATTAGGTATTTTTGGAAGCAGGCAAGATGAAAAATTAGCAACGACTTCGCCTAGAATCGAACCGCGGACTTCAAGAATACACACCCAGCGTGCAGACCACCACACCACGATTTCGGGAGAAATACCTTATATACTCCCCCTTTTAAAGGGCAACTGAGGTTCTTTAAGAGACCCAATTGCCAAAATTCCGGGTGTGGAGAATCATCATCCAACACCCTTTTAGCTCGGGCGCCACTGTAGAGACATTAGCTACCTTTAGAAGCAGGCAAGATGAAAAATTAGCAACGCCTTTGCCGAGAATCGAACCGTTGACTTTTAGAATACGGCGCCCAGGCGTGCAGACCACCACACCACGAAGGCATGCCAAGAAGTCGGGAGAAATACCTTATGTACCTCCCTTTTAAAGGACTATAGGGTTTTTAGGGGACCCAACCGCCAAATCCTGGGTGAGGAGAATCATCATCCACAACCCTTTTAGTTCGGGCGCCACTGTAGAGACATTAGGTATTTTTGGAAGCGGGCAAGATGAAAAGTTAGCAACGCCTTCGCCGGGAATCGAACCGCGGACCTCTGGAATATGCGCCCAGCGTGCAGACCACCACACCACGAAGGCATTCCAAGGTGGCGGGAAAAATACGTTATAGGCTTTCAAAACTGAACAAATAATCCTATGATGACAGCCTATTCATTCCGTTCCAATTGAGAGGATATTAAAAGAACCGCTTATAATTTACCAGCAAGTTAAAACCAGGCTAAAACTTGAATAGATCATTTGCTGAAGTATTCATGGATACTAAATTTAGAGGATTAAAATCTCATCTTAATCACGAACAGATTGAATAAAATTGTACAGTTTTATTTCGGTTAAGAGTCAAAAGTTTTTAGCTGTAGATAAAAAACTTTAAATTTGTCGCAATACCTACTTGACCGTTCGTCGACTGGGTACGCCTCCCATTGCTCCATTCTATTTGGGAGGAAGGGTAAGTCTCGAACACGACAAAATTAAAATTTGAACTTTATCATAAGAAATTACACACCTCTTCATTGTAAACAATGTAATCCTTTCACAAATTTGAATCACATGTGGATATGTGTCAAAAACGTTACTGACAAGGTCGCTTTTCAGCTAAGCTTTGTTGATAAATTTACGATACCTATATGCGAAACACTGATAACGACTTCTGAAATGTCATCATTCAATTGTAAGTGCGAAATACAACTCTTACAATGACAAGATAAATTTCGTAAAAAAAAATTAATATTTTATATTACTTTTTTTCCCTCGAAAAACTCCAAAAGATCAAGCAACTACATTTTATCAAACCACGTGTGTATGTTTATCAGTTAAAAGCAAAACACGATCTCGAATTCCCTTTGTGTCTCTAACTCTTAATCTTGGCTGCGAAATCAATAAATCAGAAAACATAGCTAAGGAGAAAAGTTTTGGAGGAAACAGCTTGCAAGATGAAAGTCGCTTTTTATTTATGCTTTTCTATCATAATAAAGTTAGTTGCTTCAAACTCAACAGAATATGCAACAACTGATACATTTATTGATTATTTTGCCACACCAGAAGATCAACCAAATCCCCAGCATGCCTTTATAGGTAATCTTTAACTTATTCTTTAAATAGCAAGATGAATGCGTTAATGATCATTTCAATGCTCTGGCTGTATTGTCTTATACATTTTTCTGATTTTCTTACTATAACACTTCAATATTTAGAAAGCTGTGTGATTCAAATAATGTGTTACGAAATTATAAAAAAAAATGTAATCGCATTATTCAGCATATATGTCACATGCTGCTTTGACAGGCTTAGAGCCCTCTGACTGAATTTACTGCGAAAAGTAATATTTGCGTGTATTTGTAGGATGTAATAAACTACTGCGCTTTGTATGACCAGTTTATAGTTGGTTTGCAGTTTATCTCGATGCTTTTCCATTTATTTTGATCCAAAGAGCTAATTTCCAACTAAAACATTTTTTGTTTTGTACGAAACTGGACGCAGTCTACTTATTCAATTATCATGGGAAAAAACCTTTATATGTATATTTAACAAAAGGGTGAAAATAGCTAAAAATATTAAATATAATTTTCGTAATGCAAATCAGCAGTAAACATTTTATGAATGTGGACGGACATTTAATGCATTATTTGTGCTAAATAAACATTAATTGTGTTTCGTAATACTTATGTGTTTCGATAAAAACAATCTAGATGATATTTAAACTAAAATATTAAAAAATGTTTTTAGAAATTTTCGCGTTGATTTCAATTAAAACCACAAAATCACGGAGATTAGGTACTTTGCTTTCACTGTCTACTATAATAAATAAGTACTACATAAACACTTATAAACTAATTATTTCCTAAATCATACCTCTAATTTCACGAAAGTTGTGAATTAGTAGCTTTCTGATTACGATCTTTGGATAAAATCAAATCAAATAAACGAATTGATGTAATTAAACAATGAAGAATTTCTACAAAACTAGCAATTTAGACTTCAAAAAATTATATTTATTCTTAATTGCATATTAGATGAAGTTAGTGTGAAATACAAAACAGAATTAAACTTAACGTCGTTTACTCCTGGTCGAATGTCCCCTGCCTCAATTCATTACGTGTGAAGTAGCCCCGTTCACACGTAATTGGAGATGTGAATGGCAGAGATCACTTATTATTTTGAAATTAATATGGATTTTTTTTAATGCTCTCTTTTAACTTATGCGTTTTAATCCCGATTTAAAATACAATGAAACGAAAGCTTGGTAATGTCACGCCAAACAATAAAAAAGGGAATGAAAGAAAAGACAGTAATTAAATAGAAAGCTTCACTCTGCTGAAATTCTGAAAGTTTTAGCAATGCTTAGCACATCATTATATTTAACTGAAATTTTAATTAATAGTCTTGATTTAAAATCTTTTTACAGATTTTTTTCCAGTTTTACAAATAATTAAATGCTGTACAAATTATTAAAAACACAGTTTTTGATTTCGTTAGACTACTATGCTCCTTCTTTAAGAATACATAATAATTACTATCCTTTGCATCTCATTTTTCGTCCACATTATTTTAATTTAATGACGTTGTACACCAATCTTTATGCAGGTTACGGTTCTTGAAGGATCTTTATGTACCGTTAGGTCCAATTTGTTTAGATGCAAGTACGGTATACGGAGTAACAGTCTTAGTTTTATTATTTTTATTGTTATTCTTGTAATTATACATCAATTTTGCTGCATTTTGATCTAATTTGAATCGTTTTTGATTTGATCTTCAGGAACGACGTTCGTTATATTGAATATAATATACATATATTGCGTTATTGATCTACAAATTGTCATTACTTTTAATCAACAGCAGCTTCAATCTTTTTTAATGCTGACACTGTTTTTGTCATGATTTTGCTATCGTTTTTTTTTTTTTTTTTTTTTTTTTTTTCTTGCTTGTTTATTTGAAAAAACATACAGACATACAGGGTGCTTTAAAATGATTAAACGACTAAATATCATTTTAAATGGTCGCAAATCTATAGTTTCGAATCAATCATGGTTAACCAATTATGGTAAACTTTCTGAATACTACAATTTCGGTATCAGTTTGGACAGATTTTCAGAATACTAGAGTTTAGTAAAAACAAGAATTTTTAGACGGCTCTTATTCAAAGAAAGTTTTCTTATTCTGATAAGGAATTAAGAAAAGTTTCGTAATACGTAACATTAGCCCTTATAAAATAGTCAAAATTATATGGCACCTGTTAACTTGATGGAAAATACGCAAAAAGATCGGTTTTAGATGTGACACAAAATCTGAATTTTAGTATCTTAAAAAAGCTTTGAGAAGTTCTAGAAATGGAAACTTGAAACCTGCGTATTTGTATTAATGTTCTTTGACAAAAAATTCGCCTTTTAAAGTAAAACAAAAGAACAAGCCAAATAAAAAATACTAATGAAAGCGCAATACAACGTTTCTCAGGCTTCGTTGTTTTTATCATTTGAATGCACAACTTCTAAGTTTAAACTGTCTCGATTGCAGGATCGAAGAAATGCATGAGAGTGCTAGGATGTTTCGTCATAACGTCAGACTTCTTCCATCCGTTATTTCGGCCAATAAATTTCTTGCCCCAGGATCGAGCAACTATCGACACGCAGTTTCTGCTGTACACCAAAGAAAATCCTAAGGAACTCCAAAAACTTGATGTTAGCAAACCAGAAAGTATTAAAAAGTCCTGTTTAAATCCCAAACATCGAACTGTTTTCATAGTTCATGGATTCTTCGACAGCAGGTTGTATGCTAAATGGATGGAGGTGAGTATTTCCTTTGTCAAAACAAAAGTAGAAATAAATAAAATAAAATCATTTCTGTTCATTCGGATTTTGTACATTCTTGTCATTATACTATACGATATACGGCAATTTCGGATATTACAGAGCAGTTGTTGGAAATGTAAGTAAATAACTTGCTTCGGTATTAACGCGTATTAAGGAATTCTTCAAACGTCAAAATCTTTTCCTATGAATAAAGATGTTTTAAAGTAAACCGTTTCAGCAGTCCTCAAAAAGGGATGTCATTAAACCATGAAAATACTCGCTGCCTAAAGTCTAATTTTCAAATACACTGGTGTTAAAAACTAAGAGAATAAACACATTTTCGAAATCCTCGGAAAAGTGTTGAATGAAAACTAGAAAGTATAGGATTAAGCGATAAAGCAATAGCGAAGGTGTTTAATACGCAATCCTACTCGTGCATGTACGTAGCGCTGCAACAACCGATACTTACAAAGCGGTCGTTTGTGTTCCGCTCTTATCTCTTTCTTACGACGGCGATAATCATCGCGTGTGTCACAAAACTCTCAAATTTCATAAGCACTGCAGCATAATAAAGAACCATCAACGTTCATGCGACAGAATGATGTGGGAAAATCGTTATTAGATTGGATACAGGCAATCCCAATTTCTGGTATTACTCAGACTTGCAGTTCATGGAATAAATAACATTCCTTTTGGAATTTGCAATGAAAATGCTTGGTTTCTTTTCTCAACAAATTTTATTTGGAAATAAAATTTGTTGAGAAAAGAAACCAAGAATTTTCATTGCAAATTCCAAGAAATAAAAATAATTTTGTTTTAAACTGATTAAACTACTATTAATATTTTACTAAAGGGAAATTTTGACTCTTCAGAGACTATATGATAACGCATACTTATTTTATTAAATCTTACCCATTCTTAATATAGATAACTACTTTCATAATTTGAATCGAAATTGTGAAACAAATATTTAAGATAAATAGCTAAGGGAAAGAAACAACTTATCCGAATAACCTTATTAATTAAGAGAAAAATATAAACTAAAATCTCTTTATCTGCGCGAATGTTTCCGAGTTAGGTTGTTAAGAAAACATCCAGTTTCTAAAGACATTTGAGAAAAACTTCTCGACGTCTTCCCCGTTTAACAACAGCCAGGCACTTTTTTGGGAGCAGTTGCTGAACATGGCCAAACCCATCAACTTCTTAGCTATGTTACCACTGAAAACACTGTTCATGATGCACCATAAGGGAAAGGCTGATATCACACCCCTATAAGTTGGCTCAAGATGTAGTCAAGCCTTGCACTGGTTGGCTGTGCTTGTTACACATTCGCATCTGGTTTCTGACTGACAAAATGTCTCTCCTAACCACTATGAAAGTTGCAAAGAGACTTTTAGATAAAAGAGATCGCATAGCATCAGTTTGTGACTCAGGAACAACTGGGAAGTACGGAACCTACTCAGAACTCACAAAATTACTTACTTAGTGAATGCGTTATGAAATATTAGTGAAACGTGACAGTGGTGTTCTATCGGACTGGCTGGGGACCGAGATGACTCAAGGCCTCTCATACCAGATCTGGAGTACCAGATCAAAGATTGATATTTAAACGATTACACAGCAATACATACAGTCCGAGTCGAACACGGCAGTGTCATTATGGGGCCCCGCCACCTTCATACAGATCAGCATATAAACGAAGTTTCTAGTAATTGTGAAGGCTAATTATTTCCACCGTGACCAATCAGCCATGATGTATAGACACCACAAGAGACCAGCCTTGGTGTGAGTGAAACGTGACACGAAGAAACATTTTCGATGCCAAATCTCACACTAATCAAGCTGTGGTACAAAAGTGGTGGAGAAGATTGAAAATTTGCATTTGGACACTTAAATCTTGGATGTCTTGAAATTTTTAAGTCTTCCACTCTTTCAGAAAGTCCCAGAAGAAAACAAGCCAGTTAAGTGATATCAGGTGACGGTTGTAGTTAGGCAGTTTCAGCACGGCACCTAATCCAGTTACCGAAGAACATCGAAATCAATATTTCTTTACAAATAATTAAACCTTCTTGTTAAATGGTGCGGCCCCACTAGCGGCAGAGTGATTAAGACAGCAGATTAGGGGTAGTTCGACCTGGTTTGGTTTGATCTCATGCAAACGTCCTGGCTGCATGGTTGGTTTTCCCCCATGGAATTCAAAGAATGTCATGCTCTTTTACTTGAGGCAATATTATTTCTTTTTAGACTTGCTCCATACGTATGCTTTGGTAGTCTCACTATAAATCACTTCTAAAATGATAGATAATAAGCTCCATTACAGGTCCTCGAAAAGGCATTGAATTTTTGCTAATTTTTAATGGAGTACTTCTGAGCAGAATATGTTGTATCTATGTTTAAGGTGGTTAAATGCATAGATAATTTAGTTTTATAATTTACATTACAGGCTACGAAAGACGATATTTTGCTGTACAGTGACCACAATGTCATAATCGTGGACTGGAGTAAAGGGAATGGCATGCCGTACACTCAGGCTACAGCTAATACAAGAGTAGTAGGAGCCGAGATTGCACTCATGATCCAAACCCTGCAAGTCAGTTATTTCCTTGGAAATTTTATTGACTGTTTTTGAATTTTTAATTGCTCCATGACATAAGTTTAACCATAATACGAAACTACTTTAAAAATCACAGTTAAAATATAATTTCCTGAATTAAGGGTATTTAGGCTTCTTTCATTTACAGTTTCATTTACAGTATACAAGTAGGCTTCTTTCATTTACAGTTGCGGGTTAACATCTAAGCTTACAATTAAATTTCTTTTTCCTAATGCATGTATAATTATAATGAAGAACCTTGTTACTCCAACAGCTTTTAGTTTACTTCTATTGCCGTCCAGATGGGAAAGTGGTTAGTGACTCTGACAGCCGTACCGAACGGACCTGATTCGAATTCCAGAGAAAGCCTAGATGTAAATTGTCTTTCCCTTCACAGGAGGCAAAGGTGGCCGCTTATTAGGTGCCTACATAAAAAATGGCCACCGCTTCAGGGCTTTGTAACTCCAAATCCTAAAATGGCTAGTGCTCGCCATAAAAAAAAAAAAAAAAAAAAAAAAAAAAAAGAATTTACTTCTATTTACTATAAAAGGATTTCCCAGAAACTTAATAACTTTTTCGAATTTTTTCATGAAAGCTTTGAACATCTTTTAACTTTTAATTTTATTCAATCATTTTCTCCTAGTAAACCAGTTTCCTTATATTCAGTATCTGTTTCAACTGTATCTCATAACACTACAAGAAAATTACTTCAGAGTTTACAAAATAAGGCCTTAAAAATTACTGCAAATGTTCTTTAAATCGCAAGAACTTTAATCTTACACCAATGCTCTTGTGGTCAAATGCTCTGATGGGAAAATCAAGGTGATTAACAAAGAAATTTAGTAAGAGTTCTGCGTTATATTTTTTCTTGAATAGACTCAAATTTTATTATAACTGGGAGAACCATAGCTCTGGTTTATATTAAAATACCATTAAAATACCAAAATTATGACTGCCTAGCTGGCATATGATTTCAAGGTCCTCGCATGATTTTAAATAATGATAAATGATAGATGCTGTTGCCTTAGTGGCGATGCTTTTTTCATATCTTAATTTTTATCAAGTGCTTCCAAAAGCTGTTTAGACTGGAGTGCAAGCACAGGTCTTCTGAAAAGTTTCTTCTTTAAAAGTTTCTTCTTTTCTTTTTCTTCTCATATAGAAAGACTAGTTATCCGCCAACTAGCAGTTTGTTAACTGCAAACCCGAAAGAAAAAGATACAACTGTGTGTTACTCTTCAGTCCCACCACGTATTTTAGCATTTTAAAAGCGTCTATTTCCTTTGCATTTAAATTATTTGTCACGTTTATTTACTGTAAAGTTTTAATAACTGCTGTTTATTACAGAAACTTAAAGGACTCTCCCCAATGGATTGCCATATAATCGGTCACAGTCTGGGAGCTCATATTGCCGGATATGCAGGAAAGAGACTAAATAAGTTAGGACGCATATCTGGTAAGAACAATTGTTTTCAAAAAATAAACTTTTCAAGGCGTCTGAAGTTAGATGGAGAGTAATTTGAATGCTTAATTAAAATAATTGTATAGTCAAAGATAGCAGTGTCTTTCTCTTAACACTGCTGCTACATTTACTACGTAGGAACACTTCCCGTCCGTGACGTTCTGGTATACAGTATGAACAAATTATGTTAAACAGGAGTATGGGTATCCGAAGAAGTCGATAAAACCTTAATTTCTTTAAATTTTGATCAAATTTCAACTAACAAAGTTTTTAAAATAAGATGTCGAGTTTAATGTAATTAGTCTCAACAATGTAAATGGATAAGTTTACATGGTCTTCTAAGTGTAAAAATATCAATCATTGAAATATTCTCTATATTTTAATTCATTAAAAATAAAAAGTTCCATACCTTTCTACGAGTAGTAGTCAGGATTACGGTTTTACTTAATTATCAATATCACCAAAATTTAATATATACAGCATTGGATGCAATTCTGCAATGAATCACCAAAGCAAGATTCTTTTACTTTTAGAATTGCTTCTTAACCTGCTTTCAAATAAACCGAATTGGAATCAAACTTAACATGGGAAAATGATGTCAGTCAGAAAATTCATTCTGGAATACCTCATTATGTTTTGCATGTAAATGTACTGAGCTTTAGCTTTTCAAATAATTAAAACCTGATGAATATTTGTTAAGCAGATATTTACACGAATTATAAAAAACATTTTTTAAACAGTAGTTCCCGGCGCTATAGTGTAGAGTTATTAGGTTATTTCGAAGCAGGAGAGATGAAAAATGAACAAACTCCCTCGCCGGGAATCGAACCACGGATCTCTGGAATACGCGCCCAGGGGGCCGGCCACTACACCACGAAGGCACGCTAAGAAGGCGGGAGAAATACCTTATAATTCTCCACTTTATTTTTTAAAATTCTTTTAATGGAAGTAGTTATTTAATCCTTTCGCAAGGTTTTTTCTTTTATATCGACGTTACAACATTTTATTGACACACAATATTTGTAATGCATCTTTGAAAGCCAAAACTAAAATATTTTTTCCCCTGTAAACATTTAAGGTTTGGACCTGGGACATATATGTCTTATTGGTCTTAACCACTGGGCTGTATATATCCCAACAATATCTAATTAATATGGTTCATCATAAACAAATTTTATTCATCAGTTCTCGAATGAACCATTCTAACCTGAATGGGGATAAAATATAAACAAGCTTAACTAACGGTAGTTCTCAAAACAGTCGAAGCATAGTTAAAGACTGCACATTGAGCAGATTATCTTAGTCCGATACTTCTATTTCTATTGGGAATATTAGCAACAACGTCTTCATCTTCAACATTTAACATGCCTCAGGAAACTTCGAAAGAACGTCCGGTTCCACCATATCGTTGATAGACTACGTTGTGTTGTTCTCACCGCGAGCTATCATGGATTCAGGAAACGGCACCAGGAAGTCCAGAAAAAAAACTTTTTACTGTTTGTTTTTAATCAAAAAAAAAACAATCCACGAATTTACAAATGCTTTCATAAACATATAAGGTATTTCTTCCATCTTCTTAGCATGCCTTCGTGGTGTAATGGCCAGCACGCTCGGCACGTATTCGAGAGGTCCAGTTTCGAGTCCCAACGAGGGCATTGCACATTTCTCATGTCTTTCTGTTTCGAAATAACCTAATGTCTCTACAGAGGCTCCCGAACTAAAAAATGTGGTGGATGATGATTCTGCACCGCTTGCCTATTGGGTCCCCTAATCACTAGTCGCCCTTTAAAACAGTCACAGTCTTCCGACTTCTTCGCATGCCTTCATCGTGTAATGGCCAGCACACTCGGGGCGTGTAAGAAAGGTCCGAGGTTCGAGTCCCAGGGAGGGCATTGTTCATTTTTCACGTCTGTCATCATCAAAAATCCTAATGTGTCTACAGACAAACGAAAAATACCTTTTCCCACCATTTGGTGGCATTTTAAACATTTCTTAGATTTTTATTACCTGGTTTATTAAATCTATTCCTCACAAAACTCGTATTTTGCTTCCATTTTCGTGTTCTTTTTACTGTTGTATTTTCGCTTTATGTCTGTAGGACAGCATTTAGAATAAAGTCACCGAGCACATGTCATTCTGTTTTCTGTTACGCTGTAGAGACATTAGGTATACTTTTGGAAGCAGGAAAGATGAAAAATAGCAACCACCTTTGCCGGGAATCGAACCACGGATCTCTGGAATACCGGCCCAGCGTGCAGAACCACTATACCACGAAGGCACGTTAGGGGAAGCGGGAGAAATACCTTATAACGCAAAGCTCCTCTTTCCCTCTTTTTGTGAGCTTCCTCGCTTATTTGGACAGATTCTTGATAGACAGATTCTCGCTTATTTGGACAGATTCTTGCATGTTTCAACGACTAGCCATCTGATTATTTACTTCAAAGTGATACTTGTAAAGAAGCGATCTAATGCAAGCACCACATTTTTATCTCGCCTTGTGCTAGTCACTTTCCGCATAACTGTTTCGCCAAAAGTTCTTTCAACTTCTTCCTCCCCCCCCCCGCCAAAGCAAATGTCCAACACGGTTCCCGTTTTGTGAATCACATCGCTGTCAAACTTTGATTCCTGTGTCTTCTGGGTTCATAACGACTATCTCTTGAACTTAAACATTGACTCTTCGATCGATTGAAAAACCCTTTCCTTTTTTCATGCTTTGAAGGTTTATTTGAAACATGAAACGACGTGATTTGTGTTGTTTACGTATTTTGATCTTCCTATGGTGAGAAAATATAGCTTTGATGTTCATGTTTTGCTTCTGCTTTGCCAGACTGAATTTTTTATTGCTAGGTTTCTGAGCGAAGTGCTTCGTAAATTTTGGCACCTTCCTGTAGCATAAACGAGCACTCAAGGAGAAGCATAATCTTTAAAAGCTACATCAGCTGAATTATCTTATCTTTCGAAATCACTCATTTGTGCATCTAGATATCAAAATGAAAAGACGTTTTGGAAAGCTATTCGAAAACGCATCCAGTTCACTTGAGGAAGGACAAGACCAAACAACAAAATAGACGGTAATTTAGCTGGAATTTTTATGTGAAGCTGGATATCTGCCCTTGTACGAGGCTATAAAATAGCATCTAAAACAATGTTTTGCAATGCGTTTTCTTTTGAAACGATGTGTCTCAGTTCTCAAAGCATGGGCAGTCTCTGTTTTTATCTTAGTGGCATCAAGCTCAATGTGCATCTCTGTTTCATCTGAATTTGAGAAAGGCGACACTGAGTACTGAAAGTTTGGATCAGCCACATCATCTTCTAGGTCGATATCTTCGCTATCCGACTTCTGCAGTAGTGTTTATATTTCTTCATCTGTAAGCTGGCAGTGAGTCATTTCCAAAGTTTGAAGAAGAATTTTGAACGTTTTGAATAACTGATAGTGCTAGAAGATGGTATGTGCATACATCGGAAACTAAAAATTCTGATGTAACTATGTTGATTTATCAGGCTACATAAGTTCCGCCTACATTTCATATTGCTTACCAGGACTGATACGACGTGCTGATACTACGCATTACTGGCTCCATGAGCGTTTTTTTAAACTTTCGTGGGACCTATATGTTCCATTAATCGCGAGAGGGAATTTATGTTCATTATTTAAGGAAATAAGGCACACGTAGGTACCTTTTCAGGACACTCCATATATACGTAAAATGAAAGCAAAAACCTAGAAGATAGTAAAACACATAAAATCGTAATTTGATGGATTTCATAGAATAGGTTTGCTTTTTGGAAGGAGAAAGCTGACTATTAACTGTTATTTAACTCAAGGAAAGTGTTTAGACTTCAAAAATACTTTTTTTTTTTTTCAGCTCTTGGAAAATATCTCAGAGTTCTAAGGAAATAGAAAACCAAAATGTTTACTTAAACCCTTAATGATTGTTTATTTTTTCTGATAAAACGTCGTAAAAAGCTCATTTTAAAGAATAAAATTTCAAGCAAATTAAGATTATAAGTGATAAAAGTGGTTAAAATTAAATAAAAGCTAATGTTATCTAGTTTTCTTGGTTCTACGCGAACGCATAATGGAGAGAAAAAAAGCGAGAGGGAAATGCCGCTACAAAAAAACTTCATAAAATTTATCCTGTCGGAAAATAAAAGATCACTAAGTATTTTCAATTTCTAAATATCATAGTATAAAATAGCGCGGTGAAAAGATAAAAATAACTTTGAAATGTCACAGAAATGTACATTTTATATGTGCAAGATAACAAAAGTCTATAAATGTATGCTTTTTTGTGTTACTTTGCTTTTCATTACATGTTCCGCAAGATGTTTTTAAAAATTTCGAAACTTCAACCTCGATTTCTTGTTCCCGCCCGCAATGTTTTGGACTTGCTTTGTTTTCTTCTCTCGATGGTTTCTTAACAAAGATTTCGGAAAACACGAGATTTTTTTAACAAAACCTTAAAGGGATACACGTTGCGCTCTTCAATATGCAATTTCTGCAAGACTCACGTATAAACTTATTCACTCATAAACTTATTCCAAAATTCTAGACGTCATTATTGATATTTGTTTGTAAAATGTAGTATTTGCATTGAAAGCAGACATACAGAACTTTTTCCGAGCAGATCGCTCTGGAAAAGCTTGTTTGTTTAATGCTCTTCTGATCATTGAGCCAGAAACTACAATGCTTGATACTTGTTCTAACTCAGCTCTCAGTTTTGGGACTGAAGCATGAGGATTTTGTTTTATTTATTTACTTATTTATTCAAATTAAGACTTTTACATATCGGCGTTGGTTTTTGAGGAAGTGCACTGCGAGGTTTATGTGCAAGAGTTCTGCATACTTTATAATTTGTTATTATATTTTGTATTGTAGCAAAGCTCTTATATAAAATTCTTCCAGTTTCACTGCAGCAATTTCCTTCTTTCACCAACTTAACAGCTAATTTTCTTTTTTCTAATGTCGTTCTCTTATTTTAGCCAAGAGTGTCAAAATAAATCAAAGTAAAATAAAATCACATATAAATATTTTCAAAATAGTTAATTTCGATAGTTTTTTGTTTGTTTTAAAATAGCGGACACTTGCCTATAACGGCATTGGCCCCTAAGGCCAGAAAGTGGTGGCCATTTTATTGTGCAGGCACCTAATAGGCGGCCACCGTTACCTCCTACGAAAAGACAGAAAGTTTTACATCCAATGTTTTCTCCGGGATTCACACCCGGGCCGGGATCTTCGGTATCGCAGTCAAGCTTCTTTAACCATTATACTGTCTGGGTGGCGTTAATTGCAATAGTAAAGTGTAATCACTTGTCATTTCAAGTCCCCCCCCCGGGGATTGACTCTGGCGAACGCCTGAAAAGTACTGGTTAGGATCTGTACCTAGGCAGTCTCAACCACGGGGGGTATATAATTTGACTTCACAGGACTAAAACCCGAGTATTGTACTCAGGTTGGTTCAGGCTTGGCAAGGACCGTACTGGTACTGTCGTGTCTGTTCCTTCGGCTGTGGTAGAGCTATATTGGATATCGCCGATCGAGTCCCCGGGTTTTGACCCCATTCAGTTCTCGTGGCGGCAACTGACAGGGTGGACAGAGCACCTTCTACAATGTGGTTTTTGCCGATGGAGTGGTGTCCAGAGGCAAGGTGACAGAGTTTCAAAATAGCAACGTTTTCGTTCTGCCCAATGCTTTAAAAGCCGGGCGGGAACTGCGAGGGTTACGCCGCGAGGATGAGGTCCCACGGACGACGGATATCTCTGTATGGGTCCTCTAGAATATAGACCGGTCGCAAATCCTTCGTCTGGTGTGTCTGTCATTTTCAAGTTGTTTTTAATGTCCTAAAAGTGGGCGTATGAATAGTTTTGCCACTCACCTGTGTAGAACTTATCACCATAATTTTGCACATTTTATGCAAAAGGTAAATCCTGAAGACTTTCATTTTAGTTTCTTAATCAAAATATATCACTATAAGTAAAATAAAAAAAATAACCTCATTTTAAATACATCTTCAAAACTAGAAAACGACTTTTTTAAAGTTTTTAATACAATATGAATACTTCTGACATTGTGGACGACTTTTCCTCACTTTTCAACTACGTAGATTTGGGCAGCACTATGTAAAAGTAGTCAATATTTGTTATAAATCACACTTCTGCAGTGTGGCTGTAGCATTTTAAACTCTCTTCGGTATTCGGAACGATTGTTTCTATATAGGTTGTGTGTTGCGTAGCATATGACTTTATTCAGCTCATTTTTGTGAAAATTGGCTATTACTGTTCCGTATTTGTTAAATTTGCAAGTATAAGGATTTATAATATATCTTTTTAGAATGAATTATTATGGGCTAAAAGATACCTCAGAACATCATACTGACAAAATGAAGATGTAAGGAGTTAAATTAATCTATTAAAATATATATAGCTATTTTATGTGTACGTTTTGTTTTTATGTAGTATGACACCCATAAACGGTGAATCCACTCTGAGCAAAAATCAAACCTTAGAGCTTCTGAAAAAAACAGGTGATCAAGGAGCAAGATTCTGTGGCATTAAAGTCATATTAGTAAATCTTCCAAGAATGTTAAACTCCTTCTTCGCTTTGAGAACCGACATGCAAACCAAGAATTACGAGATTAGAACTATTCTGAAAACAAACTAGTGCAAGTTTTTAAATGTCGCTTGCACAGAAAAGAGTGCTTTATTACCTGCATTTGCTAATTTTAAGTGAGTGTGTTCGAATGAATTCGGGAAAGCCCGATTGCACTGAACTGGACTGAAGACTCAGCTAAAACTGACTGAGAGCAGATGAACTTTCTTATTAAGGTGAGGTTAATCGGCAAATATTTTGATAATTGCAAAAATTCGCCAAATTATTAAATATAGTTTCCGTCGGTCTGTTAGATGTACATAATTTTTACGTTTCATGAGTAAAATTTTCCTGTCTTATAATACGCCACGACAATAACACATGTACATTAAAATAAACATTAACATAATTAATTCATCTTTAACAATGTATAAATAATATGTCTCTTGGTATTAAAAATCTTTAATATAATATATCTATTCGAATTAAAAAGCTTTCCTAGATTTTACTTTCGGTGTTACACACATTTATTTTAGTTTAAGGAAATATGTTTTCCCAAACTATCCATTCTTTAATAAGCGATAAATAAAAAGTCTCGAATAATGATAAATAAAACAGCAACGAATTAAAAATATTTCTTTAATAGAAATGTTCTTATAAAATTTTAAAATCATAAGTATGTCATGCGCAAATTTTTAAATGCAAGTATAAGTTAATAATATGGAAAATAAGCTAAATGTGTTTATCTTTTCCGCAGCGGCGGATCCAGCTCAACCTTATTTTCAAAATATGCCTGAATCAGTGCGACTTGATCGAAGAGATGCAGATTTTGTTGACGTGATCCACACCGATATATCATCTCTGAAATTCCTGGGTATCATTTTACTTTTTTTGACTTAACTGGAACATTTTCCAACTTTTCTTCAATATGTATGTTTTCTTCAATGTGTGTGTATCTATTAATTTCTGTAACTATTTTAACGGCATACTGTCAGTATAGTTAATAAGTATAATTACTGTAAAAGTTATGAATATAAATTCTTTTTTTTTTAACTACTCACAACTCAAAGCTTCGGGATGCTATTACGTTTAATTCTTCAGTATGTTTCGATTTCTTTATTATTGAAAGTTTATTTACGATAAACTATTAACAATTAAAAAATTAATTACAAAAGCTAGTACTAAAAGTTTCTGTGCCATATTAAAATTTACAGCTTTAAAATTAGTGTTAAAGTTTTAGTATTTAAATATTCAAGAGATTAATCAGCATTATTTCTTATTAAACTAGTCCATTTATACAAAATTAATTATATTTAATGCATTCTATAGTACAAATCAGTAATGATCTGTATTATGGAAATGAGTTGCTTATATTCACTTAAAAAAAGATTTAGAAAAACATTAGTCATGTGTAGACCTATATCTATGCATACTTGAATGAAAACAAAAACTGGGAGGAACATTGAACTGAGTTCCTTAAGCAGCCCATTGCCTATTTGCCGGGTATTGTTAACATAATTTTACTTTTCGACACTTGTATTTTAGCTTCTAATGCTGATATATAATGACGAAAATAACCTTACAGACAAAAAATTATATTCGCACTACAACGCCTTAAACATACCAGAAGATGTAAGTTCTTGGTTTCCAGGATTATTGATAAAAACCACCCGCAACTTTATTGCTCGGCTGATGCTGTTTTCAGCGACTTTATTGCGCGGCCGCTGGTGTATGCTGAGTATATCAAAGTCGCCATAAACGCCATCTGCCGAGGCGCGAAAGTATCTACATTCCGTGCAGATTTATCTGGTGGAATGATGCCCCTCCTGATAACACCTTTGTGAGGGGCACAACCTGAAAAGTGTGGCCTTGGATGTATCTCTTCGTTTACCAAGAAATAATGGTCAATTTCGGATATTGTAGAAGTATCCTCTGTGTAAGATTTCTAAACATTTTTACTTGACCAGCGTCCAATGTCACTGAAGCTCCTTTCAATGATAAAAGTGTTGGGGTCAGCGTCAAAAATATTAATGCACTAGTCAAAAAAGTTCAAAACCCTATTTTATTTTCAATTAAAATGATATAATGAGTATTTAATATTATTTTAATGTAATGGGACGTATTACAAAGTGAAGAAAAATGTAAAAAGGTTAAGTTTTCTTTATTTCCACTTGAAACAGAAAAACAAATAAATATATCGGTTCCACTTGGACGCATCCAGAAATATTCATACACTAGATTCAAAACAATGAATTACGCATAATTTCTTCCAGAGCGCTTCGAATCGTTATCGTACTGAAATACAAACTAACTTCCCAGGCGCAATTTTTTTTTTAGCACTTTGCTTCAGATTTCTTTTAAGTATGTATGTCTATGAAAGAATCCATTTTTGCCTTCTATAAATCTTAATGACTCCATAAACAGACGTACGTTACCCTAACAAGTATACTGCCGCCATCATGTTTTACACAGGCCCACCAGCGGCCGAGCGGTAAAGTCGCTGAACACTGGTAGTTCAATCCCGTGAACGGGCTGGCTGCATGGGCGTTTTCGTGGCTTTTTCCGTGTGTAACGTGTATACGAGCCAGTTTCCCTTAGTAAGTCCTTCATGAAGGCATCCCTGCACTACCCTGCCATTAAAATTGCCAGCTATGATCCTAACGACCTCACCAATATTAACCACCCCTCTTTCCATTTTTAACCCCTGGATTATGTAACCCACTAGCTAATCTCTGCTTTTGTTTACATTGTGCTCATTGCCTTATTTATTGCATTTTTTGTGTTTGTATCCTTATGCTTTTATCCCATTCCCCACTGCTTATGTAATTGTATATAATCACTCTTATAACCTTCTGATGCATTCCTTATTATCTTACTACCTATGGATTCGAGATGCCATTACTCTCACTAACTTCTTGTAATATGCTACTAACTGTTGCTTTACAGGCAATCACCAGCTCGACAGCCCTGTGCCCCCAGACTCTACTCATGCACTTTCCATTTATTACATTTGCTCACGCTTGAAGTCATTAACTTAGTGACAATGAATTCTTTAAATCCCAAAAATATTAATGAAAAAATTAATTAATTATATATTCTTTATCAGGTTACTCTCTATTACCTATCGTAATTTTAATTATTATATTCTACACGGAGTAAGGCTTTTAGCCTAGGTACCCAGGTGTCTCGATGCACCTTTCCACTGGAGTGCAATCCCTTTCCTTAGATAGGCCTCAAAGCTTTACCGTAATCACATAACCCAAACCATATTTTACTGTAGCTCGTAAATTTTCCTATGAAGTACTGTTCGCTTACGCCATTTTTTTAAATTTCCATTAAATCCAAAAATATTAAATTTAAATTCATCACCGAAAATAAACTTATTCCAAAATTCTAGACGTCATTATTGATATTTGTTTGTAAAATGTAGTATTTTCTTTGCATTGAAAGCAGACATACAGAACTTTTTCCGAGCAGATCGCTCTGGAAAAGCTTGTTTGTTTAATGCTCTTCTGATCATTGAGCCAGAAACTACAATGCTTGATACTTGTTCTAACTCAGCTCTCAGTTTTGGGACTGAAGCATGAGGATTTTGTTTTATTTATTTACTTATTTATTCAAATTAAGACTTTTACATATCGGCGTTGGTTTTGAGGAAGTGCACTGCGAGGTTTATGTGCAAGAGTTCTGCATACTTTTATAATTTGTTATTATATTTTGTATTGTAGCAAAGCTCTTATATAAAATTCTTCCAGTTTCACTGCAGCAATTTCCTTCTTTCACCAACTTAACAGCTAATTTTCTTTTTTTTTCTAATGTCGTTTCTCTTATTTTAGCCAAGAGTGTCAAAATAAATCAAAGTAAAAAAAATCACATATAAATATTTTCAAAATAGTTAATTTCGATAGTTTTTTGTTTGTTTTAAAATAAGCGGACACTTGCCTATAACGGCATTGGCCCCTAAGGCCAGAAAGTGGTGGCCATTTTATTGTGCAGGCACCTAATAGGCGGCCACCGTTACCTCCTACGAAAAGACAGAAAGTTTTACATCCAATGTTTTCTCCGGGATTCACACCCGGGCCGGGATCTTCGGTATCGCAGTCAAGCTTCTTTAACACCATTATACTGTCTGGGTGGCGTTAATTGCAATAGTAAAGTGTAATCACTTGTCATTTCAAGTCCCCCCCCCGGGGATTGACTCTGGCGAACGCCTGAAAAGTACTGGTTAGGATCTGTACCTAGGCAGTCTCAACCACGGGGGGTATATAATTTGACTTCACAGGACTAAAACCCGAGTATTGTACTCAGGTTGGTTCAGGCTTGGCAAGGACCGTACTGGTACTGTCGTGTCTGTTCCTTCGGCTGTGGTAGAGCTATATTGGATATCGCCGATCGAGTCCCCGGGTTTTGACCCCATTCAGTTCTCGTGGCGGCAACTGACAGGGTGGACAGAGCACCTTCTACAATGTGGTTTTGCCGATGGAGTGGTGTCCAGAGGCAAGGTGACAGAGTTTCAAAATAGCAACGTTTTCGTTCTGCCCAATGCTTTGTAAAAGCCGGGCGGGAACTGCGAGGGTTACGCCCGCGAGGATGAGGTCCCACGGACGACGGATATCTCTGTATGGGTCCTCTAGAATATAGACCTGGGTCGCAAATCCTTCGTCTGGTGTGTCTGTCATTTCAAGTTGTTTTTAATGTCCTAAAGTGGGCGTATGAATAGTTTTGCCACTCACCTGTGTAGAACTTATCACCATAATTTTGCACATTTTATGCAAAAGGTAAATCCTGAAGACTTTCATTTTAGTTTCTTAAATCAAAATATATTCACTATAAGTAAAAATAAAAAATAACCTCATTTTAAATACATCTTCAAAACTAGAAACGACTTTTTTAAAGTTTTTAATACAATATGAATACTTCTGACATTGTGGACGACTTTCCTCACTTTTCAACTACGTAGATTTGGCAGCACTATGTAAAAGTAGTCAATATTTGTTATAAATCACACTTCTGCAGTGTGGCTGTAGCATTTTAAACTCTCTTCGGTATTCGGAACGATTGTTTCTATATAGGTTGTGTGTTGCGTAGCATATGACTTTATTCAGCTCATTTTTGTGAAAATTGGCTATTACTGTTCCGTATTTGTTAAATTTGCAAGTATAAGGATTTATAATATATCTTTTTAGAATGAATAACATTTAAGTTTAAAGATAATGTGCAATTCATTACAATAAAGATTAATTATAATTTTGGGAATTACAGTATTTTGCAAGAAAATAGATATTTTCTAATTGTCAGATTTAAAGTTTCCTTCAATTTAGCTTCAACTAATAGTACTGGAAAATTCTTTCTGGTATATCTGCACAAAATCCAGCCTGAGATAAAAAAAAAAAAAAATTTAATTTCGGCTAGTTATAGCCGCACTTCATCTTTCAGTTATCTTTCCTATAGCAGGTAATCCTCGCCAAAGTGACACATACAAAAAAAAAATATTTGTTTCTTAATAATAGCGACAAGTTTATTAACATTTGTAGAGACCTTACTTATTTTTTGAAAGCAGGTGAGATGAAAAATGAGCAGTGCCCTCACCGGGACTCGAACCATGGACCTCTAGAATACGCGCCGAACGTGCTGACCACTACAAAACGAAGGCATGCTAAGAAGGCGAGAGAAATACCTTATATACTTCCTCTTTTAAAGGGCGACTGGGAATTAGTGGACCCAATCACCAAATCCTTGTGATGGAGAATCATCATCCACAACCCTTTTAGTTCGGGCGCCACTGTAGAGATATTAGGTTATTTCGAAGCTGGAGATATTACTAATGATCAATGCCCTCACCAGGACTCGAACCACGGACTTCTCGAATGCGCG